ACGGCCGTATTGTCAGCACAAAGCATACAGACCTGCGTAACTATATAGGATGATTAAATGGCCAATTATGGCCGTTCATTTGTTCATTCTGTACAGCCAATGGCGGTGTTCCGGACATGTACACTTTCAACCCCATTCCACCGGTCGTATGTTGCTAAGCCGTGCTTGGTGCGCTCCGCCAACGCACCTGCAATCCGAAATATGTGGTACCGATCTTGACCTTGGGGATGTGTCATTCTCTGCACATATGGTTTTTTCATGTCTGAGCGCGTCCTGAAACTCAACAATCAAGCCCAGCCGCCCAACAATCAATTGACGCCACTGAGCCATCAATAATTCGCCGGACTGGGCCTTTATCTAAGTTCTTTCGGATATTCACCGCATTCAATTTCACCTAAGGCCAGATTCACCCCACGAAAGCGATCCAAATTCAGGTTTACTGGAAAACTACCTTCATTTTATTCCCTCTTAAGTGACTCGATACCTCGTTGATCGGTCGGTTTCTGGTGGTGCTGAATCACCTACAGCTAATGCCTCCTGTTTGATGAGCTCCATCGGTTCCAATGTCTTTCCGTCATCGGTTTCAATACGCCGTTTGCTGTGAAAATTAGCGCTCGGGAGCAAAAGATTTCCCTAAATTAATTTCAAAACTCTTACACCGCACACGCTCGTTTGAACTAGCAAAACGCCTGCCCCACAGTACAGGCCAGTTAATCTACAGCACGAATTGAAGACAGCAACTTATGACACAGTATCGATCATCACTCAGCCGGTCACCACCACACAGAAACGCATACTACTGTGCGTCATCGAGTAGTTGCAGTCTCAATTAATGCCCCCAAAAAATTGAACCATTCGATCGACCCGGTTGAGCGAAGATGAAATGGCGGTCAGATTTTCGGTAAAAAAATGCCTCTAGTGATGCTCGGGCTCAAGCAGTAGAGTGAAGAAAACGCATCACTAATTCGATCAACCAGACGTAACAGAGACACGCCATCGCTCGACGGGTGCCGCGCAAATTCACTGAGCACTGATTTCGCCCGGAACTGGTGTGGAAACTTCACATAAATTTGATAATATGGCGTCCAAGTACGAGATTGACGGAAAATCGGAGGTCTACGTCTAACAGACGACCCAGAAAAGGGTCAAGCCGGTAGTAAGGTGTCGGATAATTTTCGATAACCTGCTACTGTTTTAGTATGAACCAATTCATGAATATTGGCCCTTGCATTTTCTACTCAGGTACTATCCCATGAAAGTGAACCCAGTTGATGCCTCTTCTCATGGGTTGTGGCATAATACTCTTTGTAATGAAAAACAGTAATAATAATATCTCAGCTGTAGCACCCTTTCGGTGGGTAGCTTCCATGCCACGCAACGGAAGCACGAGGGCTGAGATACTGCGCAAGCCCAGACAGGAGCAGTGGAAATTGCGATTTTTTTCCCGCACCAATGACCTTCCGGTCAGCTGATTCGCACTTTAACCACTGAGTTACTTTGAGATCAATTATCATTGTCGCACTGTCGAAAGGTCAACTTTTCACTTAGATTTAAAGTACCATTTACAATATCACAAAGTGCAGGTGGGAAGAACTTGGTGCGAACTCAGTGTTAGTCAGTGGATTCTGCCATTCTTGTCGTTCTCGATTCCCCGTTGTGTTCGAACGCCGACAAAGACTGACATGGACTCAAGTGCGATTTGAACGTTCCTCCAGCTTTGTTGAACGAACAGAGAACTGATGGATGGATATCATCCCGCGCACATTTACCTGCAAATCAATTGTTGAGCTAACTTGTGATAAACGCTTATTCCCAGGCTTAACATCTGAATCCCCGTCAGACTCTGCGGCTGGATAACAAATTTGGATCTTTCAACTGTGACTGGGCAAAAGTGGGTATAACAACTAACGAGAGGATTGTTAGTCCTAGTTCGTTTGACACAAGCTGAAAGGTGATTGATGAATTGTTGGTTTTGACAGTACAAATAAATTGAGATATCTGACCTACATATGTTCTGGACTGTCGCTGAACTGCTTTGCTAGTCCGATGTATTAGCTCATTTAAAAGAATCCAGGTTTTTTGTAAACTAAACTACTCACAAGGTTGCTGAAAACAAATCGACAGCCCGCGACTGGCTTCTCAATTAGACGCATTCAGTTGAAGAACAGCTTAAACGAGAAATTCAGTTGTCTCCCGTGAAAATCCGGTTAATGTGCAAATGAGTGCATTCGTGAGACACACGTTTTATTTTGACGGAGCCTCATCGGTACCTTAGTTCAGAGCGCGTTCACTAAGACGGAATTAAAACGATTCCTGTTTGGAATACGAATGAGGCATTTCGACTCCGCTGATTATTGAAATTATCTTTTACCCACAGTGTTCACCCCAAGGGTTTGAGCGACGGCACTGCGAAGAAAATTGGGTATGCTCCGTATACATGCTCTTCATCAGACCGAGAGAGGAAATCCTTGTAAAGGACGGTTGCGCCGCGGCTAAGCTCAGCGTTCTTCACATGTATGCACATGGCCGATGAACCATCGAATAAATCACATGATATTGGTGAATAACGAAAAGAAATGTGTGGAATTCCGCAATCGGACGGCATTACTAGACTGGCCGATTTGTGGCTTTCATAACTTGTAAGTCACTGGCGAGACTACAATTAACACACAAAGCACAAAGTTTGGAAGAATTATCATCATCGTCGACAGCATGACATCAGTGTTCAACACCGATGCTTCACTGCCGTACAACCATGATTTACTTGAAAGCCTTATTGTAAAGAAAAGAGTAAGGGTGGACGGGGAAGGGACTTAGTGCTCGCTTACCACAATCATTCCGAGGTGCCTATACCTCCAGACATTCACTCATGCAATCTGGATAGAAACTGACAACAAGAACGCCACTGACATCGGTTGGCAACCATATCTTGTAGTCTCCAACCAGGCACAGTGAGGATCACGCGGTCCCCATCCTGGAAGGCGAGTAGCACCGACAGCACCCAAGCCTTTCGTGATCTCCTTCATATTCCTCTGCCAAGTCAAGGGTTGGCCACCTCTCTGTTTACGTCACTCTGAATCGGGCATGGAAAACAGCACTCTTTTCGGCAAACGATGGTTCGGCATAAGCAACGCATGTCCCATTAATGGTTCAACTGCAACACTTTCCGTGGCTAGATGCCATGTCGCCCGAAGGAAGCATGAGGGCTGGAATAATACCAAGTTGCTCAAGCCTAGATAGAAGCCGAGATGAAAGGTCTGATCCCAACCATGGACCTTCCGGACAGTAAATTTGGACTCTAACCACTGCGACATCTTGCCCTGTGAATTGGTCAAACAACAACTTATTCAGCTTTCGTCATTATTCCTTGAAAATCTTATGACAGTGAGACACATGTCCATCCAGTGAGTATCCCCTGCCAAGTCTTGCCCGTCGCCAGTTAACAATAAAGGAAACATGGTTCATTGCATGCCTTATCCTCTGGGGGCGAGATGGCCCAGGCGGTTAGAGCGCGAATTTACTGACCGGAAGGTCCGTGGTTCGAATCCGATCTCTGCCTTTCGACTTCCCTGTCTAGGTTTGGGCAACTGGCAGTATCCCAGCCCTCGTGCTTCCTTCGAGTGGCATGGCAGCTAGGCACCAGAAGGGTGTTACAGCTGAACGCTTTCTTTCTTTATTCTCTGTTACAGCGAGTCTAACTCGACATGACGCACAGGTATGAGGTATGGACAAAGCCTATGGTTAGAGTATACCTGGCAAATCCTGATCGATCGTGGTAACAATTCATTCCAAACGCATATTGTGAATTCCGCACACGACAGAGGAACTTCCAGCACCATCCCCAAGAAGTCGTATTCAGCAAGCAGTCACGCCCGGTTCACGGGTAAATGTCTCCTTGGAGTAGTTTAAGCTATCAGTACGATCTCTTCTCGATGAAACAGTTCCTCGAGAACCAACGGACAATCCCTGGTTTGGTCCCCAAAAGAATATAAAAACAGCAATGCTTTAGACACCTAACTTAGATTTCTAGATTGCTTATCAAATTCAGCGGTTCTTGTTAGAATCATACCAGTGGACCCCCTTTGAAAGTACTCGGCTTGAATAAAGGTTATACATTGGCAAATGATGCGTTATCCGTTAGAAAACGTCACAGCCACAAAATGAGTAAAGGTAATGAAGCTATGAGACAAAGCAATGCCGAAAGATGACTCGACATTTTTGTGTGGCGGTGTGACATCAGCTTAACCTTGAAGGGGTGAACGAGCAGTTCTCCGAGGATATCGGAGTCGGCCACTACGGTTACGAGAATTCCAATGGATATTTATATCTAAGGGTCGTTGTCCACGAGGCATCTCGAACAACCGAGGACAGCAACGTGGGAATAAGACGATGTCTTTCAGGATACCAACAACACATAATCGGAACACGCGTTGCCTTCATCAGGTGGCGCTGAGGATGGAACCACGACTATCAGGACTGGCCTTATCAGCCCCATCAGAGTCTAAGAAACACGGAGAGCAACTCTCAGTATGATGGATAGCATACTGGCTCGCACCGTTTACCCGGTAAGAATGCTGGAGATGATGAACAGCTTGGCGCAACTGGTACAGAACCGAAATCAACATCATTCTTGTTCACTTTCCTCGCAGTGACTCTTTTGATCCGACGCACTGCACCATGCTGTCTGGTACAATGACTCTAGAATGCGTATACATATGCATAGGTGTACTAGTTATGTGGAGAAAACGTTACTGATCGATGACAGAGCGCCACTATATCTCATTCACGGGGTTACAAGAGTATTCACTAACAATAAACAAATAAACAAAACATTCGTTGTACACTCACCAGCTCTATTTAGAACACTCAGGAACTGCTAAATTTCTACTGGTTCATTCATACTGGTCAGGTACCCTAACAGAGTAACAGTACCTCGAGTAACTATTTGAAACTGCTAACATGACCGAAGACAGACACTCGAAAAGAAAAAATCAACGAGACAGATAATATTACTGGCCATTATCGAGTAGCTTGGCTATATATATACAGGTAGATGGAGCGAAATACACGGAGAAAATTACAATAACATTAAAAATCGAGATGAGCGTGACTGTGTGTAATGAGCCGAACAAATGCGCATCATCGGTGAATATACTCATCGATTATCTCTATCGGGGAGCCGCGAGTGACCAAAACCGGTTTCCTTCGAGTCGCGAAATTTCGAGTGAATACATATGAGTGGTTCAGTGAATTCATATTGTTCGACATCACATAATCCTCGGAAGATGATGAAATGTTTCCTCCGTGTAAATCCTCTTCTTCCTCCTCCTCCTCCTCGTCTTCGTCCTCTTCCACTTCATCCTCTTCATCTTCTTCCTGTTCATTCACTGCCTCTTCATCTTCCTCGTTCTCATCGTCGTAGGTAACATCTAGAGAAGGTTTGGTGGCGAGAGGTGGTGCTGATGCGTGCGCATCCATATCTGTTGATACGTTTGTCGCGATGGGCACGACGGTCACTGGAATGGCCACCTTAGGTCGATCTGGCGGGCGAGGTAGGATAGGTCGTAGAGTTGACTGCGTTGGCCGAGGGGCAATGGGCCTCGGTGCAATGTCAACGAGTTGGGGTTTCACCTCTGACACGCACTTCACACCACCCGACCGTTTCGCGGGCGAGCGAGCAGTAGATGAAGATCGAATAGGCTTTGCTGAATTTTTTGCTACAGAAGTGACCTGTGAAAAAAGAGGCATGATTTATGAGCTCTGGAGAAATAGTGCAAGACTTACATTGGCTTCGACAGGAACGGTATTCACTGGCTCATCTACATCACACTGGGATTGCGTGAGATGGGTTGTATAACTTTGAAGAAAACTCAAATGTTCGTCCACCAAACCGTCATCTAGACGAATCAAAGAATTGTACAGGTCTGTGATAACCTGAAGAATCTGATGTCTCCTGCTCGTCATGGTTTGCTCCTGCGAATTGACAAATGTAGGCACCAGTACCGAACAAGGGAATGTGTTCACCACTGGTGTGGTGGTGATTGACACCGGGACAACAATCGGCTCGGGTTTGACGGGCTCTGGTTCAGGTTGCTGCACAGGTTGTACGGGTGCACTAACAGGAACCTCCTCTCCTTCAATCTGGTCGAATTTACGCTTTCGATCGAGAATATGACGCAAATCTAGCATGTTGATTCGTATTCCGAAGTTCACATAGATATATTCGATTATCTGCCCAGGCGAGAAGCCCCCGTCTAACAGACGATGTAGAATGGCCTCTTGTTCAGGAGAGAGGCGGCGGTTTTTCGAGTAAAACTCAGGATTTCCTTCTGCGATAGGGTGATTATGCTTCAGATCGGTGTGAATTAAGTGCATTTTGTTTTCGCGGTACCCAAGAGTTATTTTTGATGGACAGTTGTAATCTTCGAATCTATTTGTGACGGAATGAGGGAAACAAGATGACTTACCGGTAGAGTGTGCTAGGCTTACGCTTCTTTTTTGTAGAGTGGATGCACCTCAAGCATACGTACTTGTACCTGAAGTTCTCCGGGATAACCTCTCGCCGTCGGCGCTGCCAAAGCTCCCGACTGGTGCTCGTGTGAAACACATAGCTAGTGGCCGTGGCCCGTTGGAATTCGCGAAAAACCTTCTCAAACTCTTCGAACGAGGAGAATTCACGGATGGGAAAAAAGCTATTGAACTGTTCTTCCAAATCCACGAGCTCGGTTTCAGACATCTGGGGAGATCAGGATAACGAAGAGGACTGAAAAAAACGGTCAAATAGTTAGCGGAAAACTGTCACAACGGTTGCTTGCAGCAACCGAAAATACAACGACTATGGTTGTACCAGCTGATGAGGTTTATCGTGTCCATTTCTGGTTTAAATAAGGTACTCAGCCACGCGTTTGCATAAAAGCAGGGTCCTCAAAATGTTTTACCTGCCACAAGCAGGAGGACTATTTCGTCCCGAACAGAGTTTCTCAGAAATATATTCATTGGAGTTTAAAACATGAGGCGACAGATTTGCATGTTTAAAAAGTGACACGCGTACCTTGTGAACAATTTTTAAGTCATAGCTTGGACGAAAATTTGACCAGATGAACTAAGATTCTGTGAGAACTGTGTACTTGTCTGTGTCGAGACACAGTTGTTTTAAGTACTTATGACTCTGGGCAGCAGTCGCTCGAGGGTTCAGCTCTACCACCACTTCACGTATTGCTCTCAATCAATTCAATTCAATTTATTAGCTATAAACCGTGCACTATAGGCACATTGGTTACAGCTGCTACAGTTTCGATCACCAGAAAACACATAACCAAGCATTGGAGGCGAAAGCATGTTCGGTTTTTTTGGAAATCGGGTATCTATGCAGTGAAGGCGATAGCTTTGATACACGGACGCCACTGACTGCGCGCTTTGGCCATCTCTGCCAATGTCATTAACCATTGATGATTTGAGTCCCGTGGTACCCATCCATGGAAGCGGTAGTTGCTCACCCGACTAATTTTACTGGTTAGTCTTCGTACTTCATTTCCAGGTCATACACTGTCCACCTCTCAGTTGCTTCCACTCAGTACAGGGCTAGGCAAAAAGAGTTCTGTGGGGTAGGCGGTATTCTGGCATGCGGAGTGCATGTCCTAACCAGCGTAACCTATGAAGCGTGAGTAATTCATTCACGGGAGGGTTCCTTCTTCCTAAGACCATCTGGCGTACCTCAGCATTACAGTATGGTTGTTAGACTGTTCACCACAACCTCGCCAGCTTCTTTGAAGAGCGCTGGGTGTAGACCATCCGAACCAGCTGACTTTTCGCCTTGGAGAATCGATATCACATGCTGGATTACTGTTGCTGACGGCGGACTTGTGTCAGTGTTCCATTCAGGCCCACTAGGTTCTTCCAGCGATTGTATTGAAGGATACCAGGTGAAATCATCATCATTATTGTCCGCTGTAAGAACCGCATACTGGTCATACACTGGTTGTAGCTGCTACAGTTTCGTTCACCGATGATTTGGGGGAGGGGGTAGGTAGCTGCGCATTGCACGCGCGAGCTGGTAAATTGGTGCATAAATCTGGCACTGTCAGTGGGTTGTCAAGCGCGGGGGGGTGGAAAAAGAGCTATGCACTGAAGGCAATAGCTTTGATGCATGAGCGCCATTGAGGGCGCGACTGGGCCATGTCTGACAATGTCTCTAGCCATTGATGTGGACCGTCTCGGGGTCCCCATCCAGGAAGACGGCAGTGACCAGCGCAGCTGAGTT